TTGTTAGGAGGGAAATTGATTGAGGCATCGACGAGAAATGCATTTTAGTCAAACTCAAGACTCTGAGTTTTTTCATTCCCTCGAAAAAGTCTGATGGTACTGCAGTTTCTGAAGAAGGACACTTGTTAGACAAATGAAAGAAAGTAAGCTGAGGACATTGTACCTGTTGACACCCTCCCTCAGAATTGTGCCCCTGCTCCAACTCTTGAAGAAGTTGACTAATATCAGCATTTGACAAATAAATCCAATTGAGTTTTTTCATTGCCTCCATGTCTGGCCACACCTCTGCTGCATCTTCATCTCTGAAAGCTAACACGCCCCCGTCCCTAGAAGCAATTGATATGGCAGCATCTCGGACAACATCTTGCATATCGAACTGCATATTGCTGGGATCATCAAGTAACAAAGAATAGCCTTTGAGACTACCCACCAAAGTGCGTGCTGCATCTCGGACGTCCTCCATGTTATTGAATTCTGGGAATAATTTCAAGCCTGTAACATATTGCATTAAGTCTTCAATGGACGCATTATGGCCCATTAGACAGCAAAGCAAGAAAGTTTGTCGGAGTTCTTCGCTTTCCAACTGGCTAAAACTGAACTCCATGGCTGAAGCAACAACGGCATATTCCCCTCCCCTAGAGGCCCTAAGCTTTTGCAATAGATAACTCCAGTCGCCATCTTCCTTTCCTCTCAAAGCCATTGCCATTTTTTCAATGGCAAGCGGCAGTCCTGAACATCTGTTCACAATATCAATAGCTTTCGACCGGCGGAATTCCGAGCTTTCAATATCATCTTCAATTCTCAACTTAAACAGCTCCCTACCCTCATCATCCTTCAACTTGTTAACATGGAAGATGTTATAATTTTTAACACCCATCTTTTCTGATAGAACTTTAGGATCTCTGGATGTCATAAAAACCTTACACTCCTTTTGTTCTTCAGTTGATGAGCCCTCCTCATTCTGTTGGTCTGCCATTGGACGCTTCTGCTTGGTTCCAGAAGGAATTCCAAGATCCTCCAAATCTATTTTCTCCCAAGCATCGTCCAAAATTACAAGCGCATTCTTTTTTTTTAGCCCTTCATTGATTCGATCTGCAACTTGCTGAGGTGTGAGTTCTTTAGGAAGATTAAACATACTCAAGCCACGTGCAATTTCATACTGAATTTTTGTCAAGTCAGGATTCCTTGTCACCTTAGCCATAACCACAACATCAAACAACTTCTCTTCCTTCGCTTTCCTTTTGACTTCTTTCACAAGCGTTGTCTTCCCCATGCCAGGCATCCCGTGCACCCCTATCATATCAACAGTTGGGCTTTGTAGTGCCTTCATGATCTCGTTCAACACCTGGTTTCTTGATTCAAATTCAACAAAACCATCCTGTGCACCCATCTCTCGTTTAATACTTACTTGTTTTTGAACATGAAAGTAGGATATCTTGCAAGTGTCGAACTGGACAGCCTTTTCCAGAAGATGATCAACAACCCCGGCGTACTCCTCTGCTTTCTTGCTTAGATCATAGAGAGACTTCAGATTAGGACACCGCCCAAAGCAAAACTTCCTCCCTGCTTTGCGTTCTAATTCCTTAAATTCCGTCCGGTTTCCACTGTTTTCAAGGATCTGCTCGTCCACTTCACTCATCCACTGCTTGACCACCTCCAAAATCTCCTCCCCCCCTTGCTGAGCTTCATAAACTCTGTGCTGCACGTCCATTTTTCTAATGGCCAGGTCACCCTGTTTGGCTTTCAGCTTCATAACATTTTGCTTACACAAGTAAAGAGCAGTGATTGGATATGTGACAAGGTACGTAACAATTGGATCAAAAACCTTGTCAAAAACTTTGTTTGCAAAACAAGAAAGACTTATAGGTTCGCCCATCTCCCTGATTTTTTCCCTCGGTTTACATAAATAGGAGAGCTAACCAAAAAGAGAAAAAAGAGAATTGAACAACTTGGGACAAAAGGCAAATAATTGGAATGGACGATGCAGTGATATATGATCAATTGTAATAATAGAAGTGGAACAAGAGTTTTTTTTTTTTTTTTTTTTTTTTTTTT